TCTAAAAATCTTCGAGCGAATAATCGAAACGCGTCTTCGAGATATCATAGAGTTGTCACCGAATTAGTGCGGATTTGTGAAAGGAGTAGGTACAACTGACGCAATCCACTCCGCTCGGATAGTGATGAAGAAATATGGAGAGAAGCAGAAGGAATTGCATGCAGCCTTCCTGGACCTAGAGAAAACCTTCGATAAGGTGCCCCATGAAGTCATATGGTGGGCCTTACGGAAACACAGGGTGCCAGAGGAGTACGTTCAGTGGATAAAGTTGATCTACCACAATGCTTCAAGCCACGTGCAAACAGCTGCAGGGCAATCGAAAGAATTCTAAATCAGGTCGGAGTACACCAAGGTTCAGTTCTCTCTCCCTTGCTCTTCATCACTGTGGTGAACGCCGTGACTGAACCGCTCATACGCAATCCTCCTTGGACCACTCTCTACGCAGATGATGTGGTCTTGATAGCAAGTATCAGGAAGGAGCTACAAGATGAGGTACAAAACTGGAAAAACAGGCTAGGGTTGTATGGCCTGAACATCAGGAAGACAAAGTATATGGAAGTGGGAAACAGACTCCTGGTACCATAAGCATCGATGGTGAAAAGCTAAAGAAGACAACGTCATACAAGCACCTAGGCACTCACATCTCAGCGGAGGGAGGATTACAAGAAGAGGTCGTAAGCAGGATGAACACAGCATGGATGAAATGGAGAGCCTTAACAGGAGTTGTGTGCGACAAAAGAATGCCAGTGCAACTTAAGTCCCAGCTGTACCGCACCATCATCCAACCAGCAGCATTGTATGGCAGTGAATGCTGCTCATGTACGCGAAGTGAGGAGCGCAAGCTCAGTGTCATGGAAACAAGGATGCTACTATGGACATTGGGAGTCACACTAAAGGATCACTTCTGCAATGACACTATACGAGCGCAAATGAAAGTAGCTCCAATTGCCCAGAAAATGCAGGAAAAGAGGCTACGATGGTGTGGACATGTTATGAAAGTCACATCACGAAGTCAGCCCTGGCTGTGGAGGCGCCAGACAAAAGACCCAGAGGTAGACCCAAGATGAGGTGGATGGACAGAATCAAGGCCGACCTGCGAGAACTTGGTATAGATGAAGACCTTGCCTCAGTTAGGACGTGGAGACGTCTGACAAGAAAAGAGACCCTGCGTAAGCGGGACACATGCGAGTATAGAAAAAAAACTAATTTCTTCGATTTGTCCTTATTATACTTTTTGTTGGTACAATTTGCTTCAATCGGGATCAGGCCATTTGGCTCAAATCTGCGTGCTCGCAGCGCTAGGGGTTTGCGCTGTATATGAGCACTGTCGGAGAGAGCGAGGGGATTGGAGAGAGAGCAGGCTAATTAGCCGTAAAGTTAGACGCAACCCTCGCGCGGAACCCGCTATGCCATTTTTGGCCTGCTTGGGATTGGGACAGACTATACGTACAGCCCATGTCAATCAGTACTCACTTCTCCATTGGGGCGATCTCGCCAAGCCACAGCTTTGCGCTGCATACGCACGCGTTTGTCATGTGCATTCAAGTTATCCTCATCGATCAAAGGCCCATACGCAATGCTCTCGCGTTGAGGATGCGCTGTGCTTACGAAAAGGGGAGTACGTGACACAGACTATAGCTAAACCTCCTTGGTCATGTTAGATATCCCACTTCAAATAGCCGTCAAATGGAAGTGGAACCTATAGGTTTGAAACAGTAGGTTTTTGCTCTCACAAGGGAAGGATACTTGGTCGAAGTGCCGTTTCCATAGGAAATGTTTACTGTCTTTTACTGCATGGAACGCTAATTCCGAATCTGCTTTCCTTAGTTGCAAAGCGCTTCTAGGAGGGGAGTTATGGAATTTGGACGCAAAAGTTTCGAGACACAGCTACAACAAAATCATTCAGAGCTGTAGTCTGTGAGCTTGAAGGGGTCATGATTACCAGTAGGGCACTTCATGCAGTTAATATCTAGCTTAATTATTGTTAGTATCTGAAGCTATCAACTGCTAAGTTTGACGGCGTTTGGTGGAAAATTGATTGAAATATTCACGAAAACGACATTTGTTGCATTTTCGAAGGCTTTTAACGCCCAACACTTATCTTTTAAGTAAATTTTAAAACAGTAAGGTCAGCAACCTATGGGACAATCATACATATCTTGTTAGAGATTTAAACTGCTTCTGGGACATATTAAAATGCTAAGAATGCGCTAACTGATGTCCATCTGACAATAAAAATGGCGCTTCTTGACAATACACCCAAAGAGATAGACCTGGATCCTCCTTGCGCTCCACCCACCCACGGATCGCCCCGTGACGTGTTCTGGACATGACCAGCAAGTCGAGACGCATAATTTGTGATGTGGAACTGTGGCACACGATTAGGTTTCGTGTAGCATACTATGTGACTAGCGCCGGGGCACTCGTTCATGTCTGCCAAAATAGGGCTTCAGCAAGGGGGCAATTTTGGAGCTTTTTGGTAATTTGAACCTCATATCCCAAATCAGGGCCATGGTAAGGGCAGGTAACAATGAAAACATGGAAGACGCAATTCTGGGTGGATGCTGCCTTCAAGATGGGCGATTTAGAAGAGCAAACATTATCTGTTCAAATGTGGTCCACATAAAGTTTGACAAGGTGCGAAAAATCCATTTTTGGTCTATTTCATGCCATGTTTCAATGATAGGCGTCTTCTTCATATCCTTTCTTCATACTGGATTCCTGACTTTGGTTCTTGGTTAGATATTTAACTTGAAGGTCAACTGACTGCAGTCGCTATGATTAAGCAAGACGCAATTTTCAAAATCAACAAAGAAGCATCGGTAGCGAACTGTTTAGTATAGTACTTTCATGGGTTGAAACAAACACTATGGACGCCGTCTGTGATTTTTTTTTGTGTAAACTAATACCGGTCCATAACGCCATCTTTCGGACAGTTGCATAAATTATACTCCCACGTACTTTCTTGGTCTACCTGAGAGCAAACATTCTGCTCTTCCAGATCCATATCGCGCAATTTCCTAAAAGAAAATCTGGTGAGAGTCTGAGTTCAATGTGTGATTGAAGAGCATTTTACAATGCAAAATTTTGCCGAAAAACCATTGTGCGCAATTCGAAGAGTTTTTGGAAGAGATCTGACGAGAGTGACTGCTTTTACCGAAAGCAGAGGCCTGAAAGTATTGTCCGTTTTTGCTAATCGGTCACCACAACTACAACATTGACCAACAGACAAGTGTCATTCAATTTAGATTTTATCCTCTTTTTGAAAGCTACGCTTTCTGATCTATGCATTCTTTGCGATGCTATCACTAGGCTTTGTGAACAACCTAACAGTACCAAAATTTCCCTGATTCATGAAAAATTTCATAGTTTTTTGTATATGCTAATATATCGTCGTGTAGAGTAAAGCTTTGACTACATTTTGCTCATTTTTGAGTATCTGGATCAAATTTCTGAAGTTTGTAAAAACTGTTTGATAACCCTTACTTTCGAGCATGAAGGCGTATCGAAAACATAAAAGCTGACTCTTCAAAACAAATCAAATTTGATTGTCTTGTACAGTTTATGCTTGATAACAGGCTTGAATTTACAGGAAATTTGAAAATTGTTGCAGTCGTGTGCTTCATGACTTTACCAAAAATCGAGATTTCCGGATATATTAGGTTATCTCATAAGTCTTGTTACACTTCAATTCTTACGGCGATAAGTCGTGCACCTCATATTCTTTACAGGGCTTCAGGGTACCATTCGATAGAGCAAAGCAGGCTCTACAAGATGGTATGCAAAAGTCCGCAACAGCTGCGATTTACCGTAAGTTTGCATCCAAAAACTGAATCGTACTGAAAGCTCAAAAAATCGCAAAAATTTATATATCTGTACAAAAAAATCCTACGAATCTCCAACTTAATCGTAAAAATTGCACACTATGTCAGACACTCATATGTACCGTTGCTGGATTTTTTCCTCATCTAAAAATTGAGAAAACGAAAATTTTCTTGTTTTTACAAAAACGAAGCTATGCTGTTTCTAATCATGTAGCTGTATTACAAGCCATTATAGGTACAATGGTAAACTTTCAGCTTTCTAGAAGCTCTAGTTTTCGAAAAATACCGAACTTAGCTTTTTTCACTCGGGTGTTACATGCTAAATTAGGTAATTTTCGAAAACTAGAGCTTCTAGAGAGCTGTAAATTTACGATTATACTTTTAAGGACTTGTAGTATACAGCCAATCGACTAGAAACAGCATAGCTCCATTTTTGTAAAAACTAGAAAAATTTCGTTTTCTCAATTTTTAGATGAGGAAAAACCCAGCAACGGTATATATGGGTGTCTGATATAGTGTGCAATTTTTATGAGCAAGTTAGAAATCCGTAGGTTTCTTTTGAACGAAGATATGAATTTTTCGCGATTTTTTGGCCTTCACTACGACTCGGTTTTTGAATGCAAACTCATGGAGGATTAAAGCTGGTGCGAACTTTTGCAGAGCATCTTGTAGAGCCTGCTTTGCTCTATCGAATGAAGCCCTGTAAAGAATATGAGGTGCACGACTTATCGCCGTAAGAATTGAAGTGTAACAAGACTTATGTGGCAACAATCCCAATAATCATTCAGTAGCAAGAATTTCTTAGTTTTCACAGCATTGACCTGCCTGAGTTACAGTTGCTCAAAGCTGATGACTGCATTTTTGCAACGCAAACAGACACCGTCAACGAGTCAGAATAGTGACTGGTGATGGGTATAGCACATTTTCGAAAGAAGAGCCGCACCGACAAATCGTAGTATGTAAAGCCTGTGTAACGTAATCTGGATTTGCTATACCGTCGCAGTTTGCTCCCAGACGAAGGGATTGCATTTATTTGAGCGACCCTGCGAACCCTGCGCGGGCATCTTTGCGACTCTGTGCCTCATGCCCGGTTCCAACATCTTTGTCTGTGAGAAGCGCGTCTGCACTCACTGCCTGTCACAACAAAATCATAAGCATATAACCAAGTTTTCATCCTTATGTATCAAAATAGGGAGACGAAAAGACTATAGAAGTAACACAGGAAACGATGAGGAAAGTAAACATGATCAAGCATAGACGATCCAACGCTAATGCTGCGAACTTCCAGTCCTCCTGAAATTGAACGTTTTCAGTCTTTATGCTACTGAGGATTTTGTCGAGATACTTGACTTTTTTTTTGTTCTTTTTCGCTACTGTTTCGTTTTGAAGGTTCCCTTCTTTGTTGTAATGACCAATTCCATTGCAGATGTGGTTTATTTATCTTCCGTTTTCCGCTGTTCTACGGACCTGGAGTAATCTAATGATTGTCGAAGGAATTTTCGTTTTGATCTATCTCCCATTGCAGAGCTACTCGTTTATGCCAAAGTAAGCGAAGTGGTGTTAACACATTTCGGACCGGTGCTGCACATGGTGCAGCACGCGGCTTTGAAGAATCTTTTTAACGTTTATAGGAGGTCTTCTCTTTGTCCAAAGTTATCAAGTCAAAGGCCTAAGCTCCTTCTTTTCAAATGACCCTGTAGATCTGTGCCGCCTATATTTGTTTAAAAGATACGAAGACAAATCGAACAACAGTTGCAACGAAGCGCGGCAACGCGAACGACGCGTGCGACGTCGCAACTTTTCTTTGCTCCGATTTCGAAGAGAAAAACCGGAGTTTCAATATTGATATGTAGCGCGTACAACGTAGATACTTTTGGATACTATTAGAATCTGAGTTCTTGTTCCTATCTTTCAAGAAAGCACAGAAGTCCTTCGCAAGCAACAAAATTCAAACACTTCGAATTCACTCAGAACGTTGGGTATGGAGCTTATCTAACATGCTGATTTGTAGCACACAGTCTTGAAATAAGGTCCCTTTGTTGGCTAACGGCTGAAAGTGCACTCTTTTTCGCCGCGCGCGATTTCGTGGTCCGAAACGTGTTAAACAGCGTTTCTTTCATTTAGTTTGCATTTTCAAGTTATTCTTTTATGCTAATTGACCGATTTGGTAAGAAAACTAAATTTAGGAAACATCCTCCTTCGACAGTGATTTGATTACCTAGCTCAATCTAGACAGTACGCAGCTTTCAAAACTAAACTGAGAAACGTTTTCCTTCTACAGTGATTCGATACCCAAGCATTGTTATACAGCGAGAAAACGGGATTCAGATCAAACTTGAAAAAATCTGCAATGGAAACGTATGCAAAAGAAGAGGATCTTCAAAATGAAGGAGTTGTTTAGGATTCGAAATCCCTGCAGGTATCCCGACAATGCCAACAAGTGCTCCTATGCGCTCCAAGGACAAAATTCGACCCGGTGAGCTTCACTTGCAAATGCGGCAACCGGCGCGGTCTAGAGGCTCCCCAAATAACATGGAGTGGTATTGATTGATTATGCGGCATGACTGAGCAGGTTAGCTGTCGAATTCATGCCTGGATGCCCGGTGGGTAAAGATGGGAGTATGTCAAGTGGCGCGATTTTGGGTGTATGCCCTTCTGCACCGCTCCATCCTAGCACTCTACCCCAGGGCGCTAATTACCCCGCCTTTACAATTTAGCAGAGATATATATTTCGTGAGTATTGTTGCAATACTATTCCTGAGTAATCTAAATCAAGCGAGTGCGTTTCCGGACAATACAGTGACAATAGAAACGAAGCAACGTTTTTGGCAGGTTGAAAATTTTCACTCTCCATTTTGTGCATTCCCCCTTCCCATTTCAGAAACCACCGTTCTGCACGTGTAATCTACATACCTAACCTACCCAGGTGTAACATTTTTCAGTTTCATGCCGAATCGAAACCTTCTTTGATTGTTCTCGATGGGAGGCCTATATACACAGAACATCCACCTGCTCATTGATCAGCGCTCTCATCCGCTCTGCTCTTTCGCGAATTTTTCGCAATCGATTATGAATTAGGAAGTAGCATTGAGTGAAGTCGACATCCTGCGAAAAACTCATCTCCATACCTAAAACATCGCCACATTTGCAGTGAACTAGGAGTTTAGAGTGCTTATTACTATTTATGAAGGACTGTTCTATCGAGAAACGAGCCGCGGCTTTGGCTTTTTGCCTCGCATACATCGTTCTCTTCATGTTGACGTTGTATTTTTTACCGAGTATCCCGTCCCCGACTTTTCGTTCCAAGTAGAGTTGCTCCGTAATGCTTCTATAACTGCTTAATTTGTTAGACGATCTCCTGATGATGCCAAAGGGATTTCTGACGTAGATTCACCCACTTTGCCTTTTTTAAAGTTGATGCACGAGGTTCTTCGAGAAGAGATGTCGTGGGAGAAGCGTGTTCGCTCTGAAGAAATGAGAGGATGTTTTTTTCTATGTACAATCTAGGGTGCAACATTGAGAAGAATATATTTCTCTCTATACAGCTTGAGGAAGCGTTGAAAAGTTCACCCCATCTAGGTTGTTGGTATTATCGTAGACGTTGCCTTCGTTTTTTGGAAGGAGCTCAATCAGTCGACGAGGCCTCCTCAATAGGGTAATCTTGGGTAGTAATTCCAGAAAGATTGCGTGAAACTGAAACTTGTTTTTTTTGTTGTTGCTGTTCAGACAGAAAGTTCACTCTGCAGGAGATTACCTTCAAGTAACTACAGGTGTCCCAGAAAAGAGCACACTGTTTAATCGTTGATAACTCTCTTGCTTCGATGTCTTACGTCGATTAAATTACCATTCCGTAGAGCTTGCTTCCACTGAGGTTGATAGTTTGGAGCGAGTTACCGATATCTCTCAATGTAGGAAATGAACTCTCAGCAAAAAGCCCCACTGTTGTAGCCGTTTGGTAAGAAAATTCCAGAAAAATCTGAATAAACGCTATAGGGTTTCTACGCATGAATTCTTCTGCACGACCTTTCACAAGGTTCCTGACCTTTTAAGTGGTGTGGGTACTTTTTTTTGCAAAACATTGGAAAAGTTTTTAAGTGGTTATAGAATAACTTATGGAAGAAGCGGACTGTATTGTGCAAACTTCATATCTGGAATCAGTAACTTCAATTAAATTAGCATAAGAGTTTTTAGCTTGTGTCGTCTCTTTGTGCAGTTTCTGGCTTGTTTTTTAAGGCAAAATCAAGGCAAAAGCCATCAAGACAATTCTTAACACATACACGACAATACGACCCACCGGTGGGTCGTACGTGTTCTGCCATTTCGGACAATACGACCCACCGGTGGGTCGTATGCTTTCCGAAGTTTTTGGTTTTGTTAGTTCACGGTGAAACTTTTTAGGCGAACCGAGTAAACTTCTGCATACACCTCTTCGAGTACTTCCTAAGAGATTAACACTTCAGACCACAAGGTCCATCAGTGACCTGAAAATATTACGCAAACTCAATTTTGCGAAATATGCTCTGGTCCGAAACGGCAGTCATCGAAAAATCGGCCCTGTCGTGAATGTGTTAATGGCTCAGAATCTTACAATGACCAAAAGAGATCGGAGATTCGCCCCAGATTGCAAATCTAAGTTGAAGCCATCTCTACAGAATGGTACCTGAAGATCGGCAACATTGGAGCAAGATAGTTGTTAGCAATCAAACAGCCAGCACATTTTTTGGACACCCTGTATGTGCAAAAAGTGAAGTTTTGAGCTCTACAATAGTTCCTTGTGCTAACATGGTTGGTCTTTTATGTATTTTTTGTACGAAAAATCTGCTAAATTTCTAGCAAAACTCGGCGCTGTGAGGTCTTACCATTGCGCTCATCCGTGCATTGGGAGGCTGTCGATAGCGCAGATGCAGAACAGAAATTGTGAACGTGGTCGACACTGATACAATCAATGTTAGTGTTGAGAAGAACATTCCTATAACATTTTTCAAGAGTGAAGTATGAAATAGTTGCTAAGCTTACCTAGTAAAGGTACTGATTCGGACGTTGAAGGAGTCACCTCACTAACGATTGTGACGAAGAAGCATATGGAGAGAAGTATCGTGGTTTCTGAAAAGGGTTTTTGGACCTAAGCAGTTGGAACGATGAAATACAACGCACGGTATCCGATCTTTTCACTCATGTCGTGAGCTGGTAGGCAGAACCCAATGATAGTCATCAACGACACCACGAATGTTGGTAGCACGATATTAAACATGTGAAAGATTGCTCGTCTCCTACAAGATTTGCTTCTGGTTTGACAATCACAACAAAATGCTGATTACTTCTAGGTAGATTCTAGGAACTTGCTTTACTTTAGGGCTGTTGATTGCACGCCCAAAAGCAATAAGTTCTGAAATAGTGCGCTGGCCGCTTTTCGTACACCCACATCAGGACCCGCCATGAGTTTGTTTCTAGGCTTCTTGAGGACAAAGTCCCCTTGACTTTCGTGAATTTTACGAAGTCCCCTTTGACTCTCAGCCCTAAACGTTAAAAAACCCTCAAAAAACAAGGCAACTAAAAAAACGTCGCAATTTTCGGCCACAAAAACGATATCCTTTTGCTTTTTCGTCCCAAGAACTAAGTCCAGCCTGCTTCCATATATACAATCTGTGTCGGGCCCTGACCCACATTGTCGGCATTGCGTTCATGATATTTTGCCAGCGCACAACTGTTGTCAGCGCCGCAGGGGCACTAATGATCCGTCGAATCTTCCACCTACATTCGAGATCACCGGTAAATATGTAGAAGGCGATATTATCCCCAATCGCCTCCAAAATGTTGAACGTACCTAAGAACCATGTAGAAGGTTACCGTTGAGTATGGTTCCGGACAACAAAGAGATTTGAAGGTTTCATGAACAGCGGGTGCACCTGAAAACAATGACCTCGGATAGACAAGCTAAGAGAAATTACATTTATTTCAGCTTCATTCCAAAAGTGACGCATCTACTTTTCATCTTTACTCCGGCATTGAGAAAATATGGAAAGATTTTAAACATACTGATCAAGTTCCACTCTCCGCTGGGGATGTATGTTGAGAGGTCCATCGCTGATGCTGTAAGCATATTGATTGATACGATGACTGAAGATGAAAGTGAAAAATAGGTCATTAATTTGAAAGGTTCGATATGATTTGTGTGAAAGCTGAGCATTTTACAATGAAATGATGGCTTAATTTGAGTCCTCAATTTCTTTCAATTCTCTGAGTTCCGAAAAATGAAACGACCTTACCAGCAATGGTCTTCCCTGACAGAGCGCACTATTGGTATGAAAGTAATGTAAATCAAACGTACTTGCCTTCATCTCCGTCCACTATAATGCGGAGATCGAGCGAATTTTTGTTGTAGGTCCATGATCCAAACTGCAAACATTCACTTCGTCAATGATGTGGTGTCAAACAGAATGTGTTATAGGGTGCGTTCATACTGATTCCGAATTCCGGGAACAGTTCCAGGACAACGCTCAATTCGGGCGCTGTGCCGGAACTTTTCCCGAACTTCCGGATCAGTATGAACGCAGCCATACAGATATAGCAGCGCTATTACGATGTCCTCAGAGGCGGAATAGCACATAGACTGACTATCCGTAGCAGTCCAGAAAACTGTATACTTACACTCGCTTGACTACAGTTTGCGCTTTTCGGTTTTTGTATTTTTGAAGCAATACCACGATAACTGCAAGACATTGTGTTCACAAGGGGCACTATACAGAGTTATTGTATTTTGCCGATAAGTGTCTAAGGTCACTCTCGCACAGCCATGAAAAAAATGATGTTCTTTGTTCTCCCTTATATTATACACAGTTTCATCTTTACATTACTTATGAACCTGGAAATTTCTTCAACTGATTAATTCCATTACTTTCAGATAGCAGATCTGCTCATCAAACGGAAAGTAAGTGATATCCATCTTACAACTTGCTCGGAGTATACCTAAACGAGATTAGATTAATGGGACAGAACGCACAACGACATTACCTGGTGGTACCCAGTTGATTTCGCCAGTATTGTATACAACTTCATTGGATTTGAACGTGGAGTCAAAATCTTCATTGGCACTAAAACAATGATACCGTGAAATTGCATGAGATGTGTGATCTCATCCCTAAAACAGGTGCAAGAATTATCCGGTTTAACCGATTCATTCTGCTCGCCCCATTCGCTACTGGTCAGTTCAGTGCGACGTGGTCGACTAGTACAATAGCGAATTTGTATCGGGCAAGCATTTTACCTCACTGCGCTTGCTCCGCAGTGAAGTCCAGTATGTGCGGTCAACGAATCGAAAAGGCTTTGTGCGATTGCACTACTTTTTGGAATCGCACTGGCAACGGCATGAACAGGGTACGGGAGTTCTGCTCTTCACTTTTACTACGTTTCTCAGTCATGACGGTAATGCTCTACCGTTTCACTGCAGTTTCAGAAAGGTGCAATTACATCAATCGACCGGTCAATGAAGCTTCTTTTTTATTTTGTAGGGGTAAGGATACCTGTTGTACAGTAGAACATCGGGTCTCCATATCTGATTTTCGCCTCCGGCGAATCGTACGCTAGTCACATTCTCATACTTCAAACGATCCCATGATAGCCGATAGTCTATCCAAATCTGAGGTATATTTTCAGTCTGATTCAGACAGTGCAACAATCATGACACGTACAAACTTCAACCATGCGTTCAGTTCGATAATCTGATTTTTCCCATCCTAGAAATTATCTCAGTGTTAGATCGAGTGATTGTCAACACTACAGAGAACTGACCAAACCAACAATCTGCTGCAAGAATACCTTCATTTCGACCTTCAAGCTATCTTTAGGATTCCTCACAGGCCGGACAAGTTTGTTGTAGTTATTGAGTAAATCCCTATATAATTCACGAATATGAAAAACGCCATACCCTAAGACATAAATAACTCACCTATAAAGCCTATTTTCGGCCTTACTAGCGAATGCACAGTGCCAGACGCAGATCACATGGACTATGGTATAGCCGCGCATCGATGTCGAAGGCGAAATAATGAGATGAAGCACTCAAATTTGTTTACCCTTGGTTTCATCGCTGGATCAGTGTTGTCCGAGCAAACTTTATCAAACATTTGATTATTGCGTGGCGTACTCACATTCCACAGTAGATTCTAATTTTCATCAAAGTTTTCGGGCATAATTGTTCAAAGCATGGCGAACGTGAAAAACCACTTGTGCAGTCCGATTGTAAGGTTTTTTCAATGGAAACTGACAATTCTTTGATGAAGAGGAGTAGCTTGCCCATTTTCTAGGAGTATTTTGCGGAATTATTCTAATCATTTTTGCTGGTATTTCGTTGATTTACGAGCAAGCCGTGGATTGAAATATCTTTGCACTCTAGACGGTAATTATTGTGTTTGGAAACAAAGGAAAATCTGCCACAAAAAAATCCTTCCCTAAAACCCTCGAACTCATTTTTGTAGATAGCAATCCCTGCTAATCAATTTTTATGCTTCGCTAGCTCACTTTTAATGTGGATAACATATTCAGCATTTTTTCTTGTTTCGTTCTGTGTTTGAGATATTTGAGCTGCTTTTTTTATCTGAATTGATAACCTGGACTGACCCCGTCACGTTCTACAACGATCTGATGTACATTCACACTTCTTTGGACCTAGCTCAATGCAGTACAGAAGGGCGTTAATAATACTGATGTTCAAGCATCTAACAGATGTATCCATTGTGGGGCTGTAACTAACAAGGGAAGCATGTTTACGGCGTGGCTTTTTCAGATGTTATGTATACCACGTTGGAGAGCATAAAACATTGATTCTAAATCTGCCTTTCTTATCTGCGGAACGTTTATGAACGAGGAGTTATGAACGTTTATTCGAGCAAATCAAAGTGCATTCAGGACCAAACGAGTTGCAAAAATTTTACTAGCCCGCAAATGAGGCAACCAAGTGCGATACATTTTTGACTGAAGTATATTTATTGGTTAAAGTGCTTTGATAATCACCACTGCTCCCTTAAAGCACTAGAAAAAATAATACGGATATTTTTTGTCCTATTTGCACATTCAAATTTTTACTCCAGTAAATGCTCATAACTCCTCGTCCACAAATCTTCCCCGGATAAGAAAGACAGATTTGGAGTTAGCGTCATGCTCTTCAACAGCGTATATCACATTTGAAAAGGCACTTCGACTAAACACGCTGACCCTGTAAAGATTCCTGGATTACGCGGAAAAATGGCGACATCCAACCATCAATTATTATTTCATAAACTCTCCAAAGTCATCCGTGCGGTGTGGCTCGTCATATCTAGTGATCGTATTGAGGGGTCAGAGTGGGAAGGGGAGTCGTGATCGAGGTAATTCTAATACAGCGACAACATTCCGTTAATAACTCAGACAATGGATCGGACCCCTCCGCTGGGCAAGCCGAAACTGCCAGACTCGCGCCGGACCCAATTGACCAATGAGAGCGGGGCAAATGGGCGGTCCCTCGCGTGACATCACTGCCAGGCAAATGGGAGGCTTCTCCGGCCCTGCTGCAAAGGTCCGCCATTTCTCCGGCGCGACCCTGGCAGATTTGCCAGGCTCGCGCCGGACAAATTTGTCCGGCGCGAGCCTGGCAAATCTGGCGGAGTCGCGCCGGAGAAAATGGGAGGGGTCCGGAGCAGAAATGGGAGGCCTCCGGAGCAGAAAATGGGAGGTATCCGGAGCAGAAAATGGGAGGTATCCGGAGCAGAAAATGGGAGGTATCCGGAGCAGAAGATGGGAGGTATCCGCCGGAGAAATGGGAGGTATCCGGAGCAGGCTGCGTATCGATTTGGCGCGTAGCAAGCAAACGTCTAACTCCACGGTGATGAGTCCTCTGTTTACGCTCTTTGTCCATATTTTAGTCGCCGTTTCTTTGATTCTGTTGTTTTTGCGCGTTTCTTTACCGTTTTTTCCTTTTCCGCGTTGCTCTTCGTCGCGTTGGCGTTTATGTTGCTGTAAGTTCCTCGTTTTCAGGTTTATGTTTGAAATTTTCGTGCGGTTGCACTCAATCACCTTCAGTGTTTGGCTCTTTCCGACTTGCTGAGACATCGTAGACTATTGATGGAGTGGTTTTTGTGATTAATTCTGGATTTTCGAAACAATGAGGTTAGTTGCGCAACTATCTAGTGTTGTTACACAATCGGCTGCGCGGGCGGTCGCATCGCGCATCCACTCTGTGTGCTTGGGTCACGCTTGCTGGGACTCATCATTTTCGAGTCAGATAGCAGGATAGAATGACATTTATGTCACATAACCACTTCATGCATACTTCCATAAATCCACTCTATTGGCGAGAAGAGTTCTGCGTCCTCCTATCTGACACTGTCATCGGCTTGAAGATTGAGAATGGTTCATACATTTCTGCATGTCGTAGATTATTTGCGAATCTACGACCTTTACCACTGTAGAGTCATATTGTATGCTATATTCAGTATCCACTAGTTTGTCGTTGACAGACATTACTGTTCACTGACCACTTAAGCCGCCAGGTCACCCCTCCACTGTGCTTGATAGTCTACTTGGCGGCGCCTACTTTCATGTAGGCAATCCTTGATTCTGTATGATACTGTTATTTGCCAGAAGTGAGCATTCAGGTTATCCACGCCCAAAATAGTAGCATAAAAGGGCCTGAATCCTCAGTTCTGGTGTTGGTTCGATTAATACCACTATCGTCAGCGGCTGTTCCGCATATTCACTGTTAATAGTCAGCGGCTGCTCCGCTACTATCTAATAAACAGTTATACCCGTTGTGGTACCAGCTTGGTGTATACCAAACTGCAAGAAAGTTCGAATAGTGATTGTGACCAACCCCACGGCGCATCTGTGTGCTCTTCTGTTCTTGCTTTCTTTTGACAAGTTATTTGCCCAACTAAGGCTAAGCTGTGCCAGTGAAAAACGTGTTTGAAAAAGCAAGAATGGATGTTTGGCATGCCCTAAGGTTTGCTTTTGGATTTACGTTATCGCTAATGATCTTTTACACCTCAAAAGGCAAAGAAGGAAAAGAATATTTGGTTTTTGTTATTGTTTTTTGCTCCTCCTTTGCTGCTGATTTTTGCTCAAGTAAGCTCCTTCTGTTTTCAGAGCACTATTCATATTAGCGTTGCTTGTTTTGTTGGAACGCTATTTTTGATGGGATCATCGTGCTCTGAGGCTGAGTTTGATACGACGTGCACATTCTTGAAGCTGGTATCATGTTTTGTTTCGAAGATAAGCATAATCTGTTCTGAAACTAGGAGACTCGAATACGCACTATAACGCCCGCGGTTCCGAGGTGTAAATTGGGGTTTTAGGTTTTGAGGTTTCCGAGATTTATTCGCGCTTCACAGCACTGCACATATTGTCTCAACAAGCTTTTGTAGGTACTCGTTCCTCCCCACTTCAGAGTAGCAAATAGATAGATCACAAGTGTAAAGTTGCTAATCACACAATCAAACTTGTTTAGACAGTATGTGCAAAGCGTGCCCGAGTCTTTTAGTCTTAGAATATGTGATCATCTTCTCTGTGAATCAAATACAGAAATTATTAACGTTAACGTTTTAACGTTATTTAACGTTAAAACGTTATTTGCAAATCCGTAATGCATATATATTGCTTTCGTCTCTTCAGGTATGTAAACCCCTAGTGAACTATCGTTCACTCCGGATGTGCTTCTTTTGGTGTTTCCGAAGCTGCTATATGGAACATGCGTGTTAGTCGCTTCTGCAGTCATGTGCTTCCTTTCTGGAAAACATTCACAATTTGGAATGCTGGCAAACAAGGAAAGCGATTTTTCAAGTGAGGTGGAATCTGCGCTCTTACATTCCCAAAGGTGAGTCAGTTTCGAGGTCCCTTTCCGAAAGTGATAAACAACGCGTTGTATCGTTTTGCGATGTCGACGTGAAGAAGATCAAACGAGCATGGCTGGAGGATTATGACGAAAAAGCACGAGTAGTTCGGTGGAAACTACCCATTGTTCATGTGAAGTGAGTTAGCATTCTGATGTGATTTGTGGTCAAAGGCACCGATCACCCAAAATGGGGTCCATGAGATTTTGAAAATGATTTGGGGTCCATGAGACGTTGAAAATTGAGCCAAAAAACATCTGGGCAGCAAATGGAATAGGTACGTTTCGTATCGGAACAAATGACTAATTTGCTACTTCTTTTTCGATCAAAAACCGTATGTTTTGGTTTAGGCTGCGTATTAGCATCGAAAGAATGTGGCAAGATGCCCGTGACATCTTCGCTCAAGTTCGTGAAGCTACCTCGGAATTCGAAGATGTTTGGATGAATATAGCTCATGTATATATCGAACTTGGACAATATGTCCCTGCTTTGCAAATGTGAGTTTATGGCGCTCCTCGCTGTTTTGTTTCATGTTGCACAGAATGCTTTTTTGATCTTTTTGTCATTTTCTTACCATGTTAAAACCATATGTTTGTACTGTGGTGTTACAAGGTTCTTTTTGCAACTAGGAAATTAGCTTTTCTTTGAACATTCTTATCTCTAATTCCTAGTATGGTTTTTGTAATATGAATTAACTGTTGTACGTATGCTGGAGATAGATAGATAGATTTTTCGAAAGTTTGAAAAATTTGAAATAAATGTCTTATCTCTTCGTTCTTTCTTCTATCTTCTATCCACAAACGCTAGGGGTGAGAGGGAGGGGGTAGAGTACGGGGTGAGGGTCGCGCTAAACTCCTACCCGGGGGGGGGTCCTATTCGGCTTATTTGGGTGGGGTTTAGAGACAAAATTGGAGTTTGGAGCTTAAAGGCAGCGTCCAGGCAAGTCTGGACCTATGGGTATTTTACATGGAAAGTACTTTTGGGGCTCTAACTAAGCCATTACCCAACCGGCAGCTCAAGTAGTGCTCTAACGCCTGAGATATTCTGCTCGAAACCGGACCCCGCGACCGTGTTTCGCATGGATTCATGGCGCAAAGCGCGGATCCTGGCGCGAAACTGCCATGAATCCATGCGAATACGTTCGCGGGGGGTCTGTTTCGAGGGGAATATCTTCGCCATTAGAGCACTACCTGAACTGCTGCTTCGGCAGTGCCTTAGTTAGGGCCCCAAAAATACTTTCCATGTAAAAGCCCCATAGGTCCAGATCTGCCTGAAAGCTGCCTTTAATTAGGGCTAATTACAGTATGCCGCGATCGGGGGGCTCCGGCGTACAAAATCGGGGGGCTCCGGAGCAGAAAATGGGAGGTATCCGGAGCAGAAAATGGGGGGTATCCGGAGCAGAAAATGGGGGGTATCCGGAGCAGAAGATGGGAGGTCTCCGGAGCAGAAAATGGGGGGTATCCGGAGCAGAAATGGGAGGTCTCCGCCGGAGAAATGGGAGGGCTCCGCCGGACGAATGGGTGACCCACCGCTGGGGAAACGCCGCGACCCTGCCATTTCCCCAGCGGAGGGGTCCGATCCATTGTCTGAGAATGTTAGATGAGCCCATTATGCAAAACACAAGCACGCTGAGATATTTACCTGTTATTGTATACGTAGCTAGGGTAAGCATATCAAAGAAAACCTACCAAACACAATGACTATCATTTTCGTTATCAGCATGTTAATCAGCTCTAACAGGTTTTAGCAAATCTTATTTCCAAATATTGAGCCATGTAGGTGAAATGGTCATTTACGAACATGTTGACTTTGTTTCCAAGGTGAGTTAGTTACCTTTTTCGCATTCAGCACAAAACACTGCTCCTTCTTTGTCGACAACAGGAAGCCCACTTTGAATAACCGCCAAATTATGGATTAGGAGCCATTGATTTACTCCTGTGAAACCAAGAGATTTAGGCTGTCGAATGTATTCTCTGTATCGCTGGGAGGGATGCTGGGTGGGACCGTAGGCTCTGCATCTCTCGCGAGCATGCTCTCTGATCATTTCTCAGGCTTAAAGGCAGTGGCTCGGGAAAATTGCGACTGCGGGCTTTTCACGACTACATGGCCTTCTGGACCAGCTGTGTCCGGTACTGCGCTTAGAAGGTCAAAAAAGTGCTTTTTTGGCGTTTCCGGGCCCTGGAGATTGCTGGGGAGGCGGGGCGAGGGATCCACCTAAAAGGAGCAACTGGCTGCTGCAGCCTGTAACTCCACCTATTTTGGCGGCAAACTGTATCGCGATGGCTGCCTAGGCTGACCAGCCAATTGCAGCCAAAATAGGTGGAGTTACAGTCTGCAGCAGCCAGTTACTCCTTTTAAAGGGGATCCCTCGCCCCGCCCCTCCAGTAATCTCCAAGGCCCCGAAACGCCAAAAAAGCACTTTTTTGACCTTTCAAGCGCAGTACCGGGCTCAGCTGGTCCAGAAGGCCATGTAGTCGTGGAAAGCCCGCAGCTGCAATTTTCCCGAGCCACTGCCTTTGAAAGCAGCGTCCACCCCAAATTCGACTTTCATATTTTTATTGCTATTGGGCCTTTCCACGCCCTGATTTCGATATGAGGTGCAAATTACGGGGAAGCCCCAAAATTACCCTTTTTGAAGACCTATTTTGGAAGCGAGTGTTTCGGCACTAGCGCAACCAGGGTCAAGCGTGCTGATGCTATCCGGAACCCTCATTTACGACCCTCCCCCTAAACTACCCATCCGTATGACCCTCCTCCCACCTCCCCTCCTCCTCTTTCTTTTGCGGTAACCTGCATAAACGAATGTCAATCTCAAAAGACGCCTGCCAGTGGACCTCAATCAAAATTATGGGTCAGAGAAAGATAACTACTTACAAAGTGGGAGATAATGCAAGTAATGCTTCACCACTCAAGAAACAAATAATTCTACCTAGATTGGAAATAGTAAATACAAATTGGCTATGCTTATTGTGTTTGGGAAAATATGAATGGAAAGAACATCATACAAAGCAGAACATCGATTTTGATTTGAATGATATTTAAGTTGTACTCTACCTATAAAAAAATGAAATAAAATAACAAGAAAAATTCAGCATTACGGAACGTTTCACCTCAGTCATTATAATTGACTATTTTATGATAACTCCTTTTCTAATGAAGGTTAATAAACTTTTCTGCTGTTTATGAATGTTCGGCATAATTCTTTCATGGTCCAGTGGTACCGAAAGGTATAGACTGTGGTTCTGGAAATTAGAACGTTTTAGGCTTCAATGACAGTCCCGTGTTCTATCCCCGTACGCGACCATATTTTTTTGCAGGAGAAAAAACGATATCTTTTAGGCATAAAAATTGTTTTCGAGTGAAAAGCTAACTTCATACCTTTTGCACAGACTCTTCTGCAGAAAAAGCCGTTTTGGCGCCATCCAGAACGATGTCAAAAACGTGCATAAGCACGGCAGTTTTAAAATTCGTAACTAAAGTCAGGAAAAGATTAAGAGGCTCCAATGAACAAATTTCGTAGTATAGTGCCCAGACAATTGAAGGTAAAAGTTGCAGCCAGACAGGAGCAATAAGCTCGAAAAAAATCAGAGGCGACTCTAGCGAATTTAGATGCGATCCTAGAAGCCAAAAACTGGGATTTTTGAGCTCAAAATTCCTCAACTCACTGGAGACGCAACGAAACAGCCCGAAATTATTAGGAAAGAAAGTAGGAGGATGGCGTCGTAATATAGCAATATTGCAGCTAGCAGGCCTCCATAGCGGCGAAAAAATTTAGATGCGACCCAGGTGCGACCCTCCTTCTCCATTTTTGTTGCCATGAATAAAATTTTTAAAAAATCCACAGGCTATGAAATATAACCAGATTTTGCACAACTGTAGCAGAGCATCTCCAAAGTACAGGTAAATTGTATGGGCCTTTGAAAGACATAACAAAAAAGTTTTAAAAATTATCGATGTTCATCGCTGGTGGAGATGAGCGCTTTTGTCGAGAGTGTGAGACTTCAGCGATGCTTCGGAACCAGGATTTCTAGAGCATTTGGCACATTCATTCTTTCACAAATACATGCCTAATGTTTGAGCTTCTGAAGGTGTCTTTGGAATCTTCGATCATACTTGTGGCCAGCAAGTTCGATCCCCGTCTGCGACACCTTTTTTTGCAGGGAGAAAAATGCTGTTTTTTCAAGAGTAGAGAATGTTTGCGACTGAGAAGCCTACATTCCACATTTTTTTTTCAATTCGGACCATCCTCTCTTACGACCACCCCCCCCCCCCCATCGTAGGTGCCCCTTTACGACCCCCCGTTGCGACAGTCGCATCACACGCTTGACCCTGAGTGCAACAGTGTCATGTGCAACAGTGCCACATCACATAATATGCATCTCGACGTTGCCTGTCATGTCAGAACACTCACGGGGCGATCCGTGGATGGGTGGAGCGCGAAAAAGGGGGCGGAGCGCAAAAAGGATCCAGGTCCGTTGACTCCTTTTGTAGACCGGATCAACACGGCTGGTTTACTTTTAGGACCTGCTAGTAAGATTAGTAAGCTGGGCCGGGACCTGCTTGAAAATGATGTGCACGACGCCCTTCAAGGCCCGCGGCTCTAACTGGATAGAAATGGGAGATGTCCGAAAGGGGCGGAGCTTACCCGACGCAGAAACTCTGTTAAGGTAAGGGATCCCCCAAAAACCAAATATGCATTGCTTCCAGTAAGGCTCGGGGCGGGTGTATCCCATTACTTGTGACTGTCAATTGCGCAGTCCGCGCGACAGGCTGGCAGTAATCAGGTGCGCAGAGAACTCCGGTAGCCGACTCGCTAAGCCATACTGTCCCTTCTTTGTAACAGTTTTTTACAATACTACATCAGTTTTTATTGTTTGATGAAAGTTTATCACAAAATTGCTGGAGAAAAGGAAGATAGTGAAGGAAAATATGGAAATTACTATGTTTCATTAAGAAAAGTAAACTTTTTGTTCACTTAATAACTTGACCCCTAAACTCCTCTGGGACATTTTCTGTGGCCCTGCTGCCTCTCGCCCGAATTAAACGGCCCGTCGCGGCAGTTTCTAATCACCCACAAGTAATGAGCGCCCCCCCCTCGGGGCTCGCTCGAAGGTTTTTTGGGTAAGGCGGGTTCCAATAGAACAGTGTTAGAGTTCGCAGCCTTTTGCTAGCGGTAACGTTGGGAGGCGGATGACCAAGCAAACAAATCTAGGGCCGCGGGTGCTCGCAGTGGCAGTCTATCTGTTGAATCTATTTGAAAAATATCAAGATGGAGCAACATGGGACGATAATACAAATTGTCGGAATTTGAATTGCTCCTCGAACATCATAAAATACTAATGATATTTTGAAAGGCGTCCACGCAATGAAAAACGCGGGGGGGGGGGGGTGGGGGCCCTGGCAGTCGTTGCCACACTTCTTGCGCGACCCTGCACCTTTCTCTGCTGCCAAGTCCATATTTCTATATTATCTTCGGGAATCTGAGATCGCAGCTACAATTTCTTTATTGGTTTAATAGCTTCATACTGTGACCATGCATGGGCATGACGATGATATTTCTGATGCCAGGTTAAGAACACTGCATACTATTATATCACAAACTCTTAGAAGTATATGGGAATCCATTACGCGTGAATGTCAAAACTAAATGCGGTCACTGGATCGCACTCGAGTTACTTTGTCACCATTGCGATTATTTGCAGTAAAAAATGACCCAATCATCCTCTACCTTTCTTTGAGATTCCAAGTTGAAGTAAAATAGATGACAGATAAATTATCCGCCCATCTGGTCGTCACCCGTCTCTTAACAACATCTTGTTTTTCGCACATAAACACTAGGATTAGCTATACAAAGATAAGTGTTGAAGCTATGTACAATGCTTCCCACTTCCCGTTCAATAGCTCAAATACAAATGAATTATTATGGCCAAAAGAAAAGCAGTGTTTAATCCACTTTAATGTATCAACCCACCCTTAGCAAGATGGATGCTTGGTCAAACTGCAACAAATGCGCATGCCAGATTCGATACCCAGAACGCGACCCTCACCAATGCTGTCGCAGCCATGTGCATACATAAATAAAGCTATGAAATTCCATCCCTGGTCAAACAGAGACCTCAGCTTCTCATTACCGATTCGCAAAAAAGATGTGCTATATTGTAAGACTATTCTGCTGGTTTAATCTGAACATAATGTAGAGAAGCTGAGATATTGATGCCGATTTCTTCATTTTGCATCGGTTTCACCTGCTGTTCAATTTTACAAAGCATTCTAAGCAAATCCGCATCAAAATCTACTCACGGTTATGTTTCTTCGAAACGTGACTCACTTTATTTACGGGATACATTGCTGGCAGGGAGTGTCAAGAGAATACTATGGGATAGGCTCTCCATGAAAGTGAGATTCCTAATGTTTTGCTTGAAACGTTTCTGCTATCGAGGATCAACGTATCGGACAAGTTATTCAGGCATAGGTGCGAAACACCTCACAGATCAAATAATAAGCAGTTTCTAGAATAAGGATACTAACACGAGTAGAAGATTCGGTGACCTCACAACGGATTATGAGATCTATGTATGACAGCTACAAATGTAACACCGACACAGCTCCAGCAGGCGATTAGTATTCGTCCACATCGTCACCTCCCTCACCATCGACAGAGTCGATACCAACTTCTTCGTAATCCTTCTCCAAAGCAGCAAGATCCTCGCGTGCCTCGCTGAACTCTCCCTCCTCCATGCCTGAACACGAAATTTTACAATGCGACTTGCGTGTTTAGCCTTCTTCGACTAACCAAACGATTTTCAAACTTTGATATCTACTCACCTTCTCCGACATACCAATGGACGAATGCTCGTTTTGCATACATAAGATCAAACTTGCGGTCGAGGCGAGCCCAAGCTTCGGCTATTGCCGTAGTGTTCGACAACATGCATACAGCACGAGGGACTTTAGCCAGATCTCCACCCGGAACCACCGTTGGAGGCTGGTAATTGATTCCAACCTATACGACAAAGTACAGTCTGACTGCGAAGTAAACTGGTTGTAAGCATGACTTTATATTCTGAAACTTCGCTAAATTCCCGAAAAAAAAAACCGATAAAATGTGACCAGTGAAATCGAAGAATGCTCAACTAAACAGGTATGAATTCACCCCTCTTTGAACAAAATATTCACAACAAAGTATATGAGAGAGTTAAAATCGAAAGCCAGTTTGCTGCGAGCTAATAGCTCGTATGAACTATGGACTCACCTTGAAACCGGTAGGGCACCAGTCCACAAACTGTATTGAACGCTTGGTCTTAATTGCAGCGATTGAAGCATTGACATCTTTCGGCACAACGTCACCTCTGAAAATGTGAGAATCTTATTCCACACACGGATACATCATCCAGAGGCAATGCGTACGCTTGCCCATGCGCTGTCACAAGACGATGCGATATCGCGCTTCTCACGGTGGATTTCCTTTAGTTTTGTTTCTTCTCGCGGAAAAACGCGTTCATACCTTCTCAGCCTTGATTCAGACTGCGAAAGCGAGGAAATAACAACAAACGGCAACAAAAATATGAAAAACCAGGGGCATACATCCAAAACAGTTGCAAAGGCGCTACATATTCAATATTCCATGGCTCCTGGAATGATACACAGGCCAAGGATGCATTCCGTGAGTTGAGAGTCTATTCAAATTAAGACGTGAGCTCATTCCGAAAACTTTTTAGGGATGCTTCGCAAAATTTTTCCGGGTCCCAGACCCCCGAAAAAAAATTTTCACAAAATTTCAAGAATTACTTCAATTATTTACAAGTAAAAACAAGTCCCTTGCACATTTTTATAACACATTTGAGTAACTTTCGAAAAGTTCGCGACCCATTCTTGGAGGGGCTCACGCACCCCCTCCCACAGCTCCCCCCCCCCTTGTACGCCACTGGTGAGCTGTACTCCAATTGCATTTTAGAAGAAAAACATGGGCACTTGCTGCGCTTCCAGATTCGAATTTTCTTTTGTTAATACAAACCTGTATAACAAACAGACAGCCATGTACTTTCCGTGACGAGGATCACACTTAACCATCTGATTGGCTGGTTCGAAGCACATATTCGTTATATCACCGACGGATAACGTTTCGTGATAAGCCTACAAATGCTTTTTATGCGGCGAAAAAAATGATCAACAGCCAAATTAACCTTTTCAGAAGATATTACGGGAGAGTACGTCGCCAGAGGGAAATGTATCCGAGGATACGGAACAAGATTAGTTTGGAACTCAGTAAGATCTACGTTTAAGGCCCCATCAAACCTCAGAGAGGCAGTTATAGAAGAGACCACCTGAAACACTATTGATTGATGACTGCCACCTAGGAATTATTCTCCCCAAAGAGTACCTGTGATATGAGTCGATTGAGGTTAGTGTAACTAGGTCGCTCAACATCCAAATTGCGACGGCAAATATCGTATATTGCCTCGTTGTCGACCATAAAAGCGCAATCGGAGTGCTCCAGGGTAGTATGCGTCGTCAGAATTGAGTTATAAGGTTCCACTACAGCAGTTGAGACCTTCAGTGATGTACTATAAGCAAATTCGAACCCCAGGCAAGAGCGCTAACCTGAGGAGCTGGGTAGATAGAGAACTCAAGCTTGCTCTTCTTTCCGTAATCAACGGATAGACGTTCCATCAATAATGATGTGAAGCCTGATCCTGTACCACCGCCGAAGGAATGAAAGATGAGGAATCCTTGCAATCCAGAGCAGTTATCAGCCAGCCGGCGAACTCGATCCAACACAAGGTCGATGATTTCTTTGCCGATAGTGTAGTGCCCTCTTGCATAGTTGTTGGCGGCGTCTTCCTTGCCAGTGATTAGCTGTTCAGGATGGAACAGTTGCTTGTAAGTTCCAGTTCGGATTTCATCTAAAATAACACTGTCAATTTTACACGCAGTCTCACAAACTAAGGCTGTGCAAAGCTAAAAAGTGCAGGAATAACGAAGGATAACGAAAGCTGTTATGCAGTAACTAGCACACGGGGATTTGCAGCTAGTCTGTAAAGCACCATCATTTCACCCAACTACCAATAGGTCACAAGCATGCGAAAAGACAGAAATGACAAAATACAAAAGTTTAGCAGACTTGATGATGTCAGAAAGCATTAACTAGCAGCGAGGTAAAACCAGTGAAGCCCATTTTTAGAAACTGATGCAACAGCCTCACTCTGTAGTCCTTGACAGATAAATTTTATCCATGAAAGGAAGGATCAAGCTCGTAAATCTCCATTTACCCCGCCCAGCTGTCCATCGCTGACAGCCACAGCCGTTAGGAAAGCGGGACAAAGATGGCGAAAACGCCTTCATTTTGCATGCATTACTTCGCATTCATAGCGCAGCTTAACGCTGTCGATATTTATGGCGGCTCAAACGAAAAGGAGCGCTTCGCAAGAGATCCTACAACACAATACAACCTATTCGGTGCGGACGTTTGCAAGCTGCATTTACAGCATGCATGATAAAATGCTCATTTAGCCACAATGTTTCGATTGCGCTTTAGATTCAAAAACATTCCATTTGCGGCTGCTATGATCACTTGCGGTGTAAAGTGGGCTAATGGACGTATTTACCCTCCGCTCATGTTTATGCGGTAACCCAAATCTATGGCAAAAAAGTGTACATAAGTAGCCAGAACGAGTTACGCTGTTATAGATTGCCCCCTTTTCCACTAAGAAAAGAGAACGATGTTGTGATAAAGTAATTTTTTGTATTATTTAAGACTCGCCAAAAAGACTTCCTATAGATGGTAGAATTACGACTCAACAAATCTGCTAAATACTGACCAGAACCAGAACTTATGAAGCAAAAACTGCCTGGGCTGAACTGCATTTTGATATCCAAAACCCATATAATGTATGAGAAATCGACGCGTGCAAGGAGATTACGAACATATATGAACACCAACCAATCACAGTAGGTTCTAAGTCAACCATTACGGCTCTCGGAACGTGACGACCTGCTCCAGTTTCCGAGAAAAAAGTGGAAAATGAGGTATCGTCCTGAAGCGAGTACTCAGTCTGTGAGTCATGTTCTCGCCGGGCGAAAACCTGCGTCTGCTTGTCTGAGGGCATACGACCATCGGGCTGAATTCCGTGTTCTAAGCAGTAGAGCTCCCAGCATGCATTTCCGATTTGCACGCCAGCCTGACCAACGTGAATGGAGATGACTTCACGCTGCAAGAAATCGATTAGTTAATATGTGATCTGACCCCCCTCTACGGTACGTGTAATCTTCCAAACGCCACTGCAAGTCGTATCACCTTTGCACCCTCTCATCGTTTCCATTTTTTCAACTAAGCACTGCCATTCTTCGGAATCAATAAAACATTGCGAAACTCCCTTCGGACCAGTTCCGAAACTCCGCGCCCGATACGAAACGAGGGACAATATGAGATTACGTGCGGGATCATGACACCAATTCCGACTAAAGATAGTAATAGCACCAGTTTATGTAGAATTACTAAGATAGCAAAGGATCGTACTAATTACCAACTTCAAGTGATATGATGCAGAAATGTATAGGATTAAAATGCGAACAAGCTCAATATTTTCGAAAATTGTGAATATGGCAACATACACCGCTTGAATACTAGCAGTAAGTTCAAATCTGGGTAACTCTTTCACCCTATCGTATTTAAATGACAAACAAATACCAGAAGAAAACACCTATTACGGAACAATCGGAGTAAACTGCCCTAGAAGGAGCGTAAAACCCACCATTCTTAGTCCTCCAGTGAAATCGCCGAACAATAAGCACTACGGCAGAGAGCTAAGCCGTGCAATGACGCCTCTCTGGTTCCCGCACTTCTCTCGCCGTCCGGAGCTTTGCTATTGCGCTTCGGGAACAACCAAACAACGCACGCTTAGTTGACGCGTCGCGCACGTCCATATTGCAGCAGGACAATTTACGCTAGCGCATCAATTTATCGTAATCAGTTTACTGCATGCTATACCGATAAGTTGTGGATCTCCCCTCATCATCCGTGATATCAAAGTTATTTTGCGTCCGTTTTCATGTCTTCTAGTAGTTAGATCATGCTCTTCTACCAACTGACAGTATTCAGGGAAGACTGACTATTAACATAGTCTAGAAGCATAAATTGATTTTCTACTGAAGCAGAGCAAGAGGAAAAATAGAAATCCGTTTCCACACAAGCTGTGAACAAAACAGTTTTGAGAGAGGCTAAAAACCATATAAAGCTGTAAACGAAGATAAAATGCCTAGGATCATTTACAGTTGTTCTGCCTCTGTATTCGTGGTTTAATCATTTCTGGCAATCATAACATTTGATTTCAGTTTCTTTACGAGATTTTGGGAATGTGAAACGGTTGATTGTAAGGACGAAATCCGGTGAATGTCAAGAGGCGCGGTTTTTATTACCAGATGAACACTAAGTAGGAGGTAATGAAATTATTCAAATTCCAGAAGGAGACATATTAGTCAGTTGCATGAGTTGCTCAATCTTGCTATCTTGGAAACAATTCAAAACAGCATTCTTAAGGTCAAAATCCATGAAAATGCAGTTAAAAACTCTTTAAACACTGCGGTTCGTCTTCCATCAAAAGCCAAGAAACTCAGCAAGTTGTGCGCTTTATTTACTTTTTGAAGACTCGCTTAACACTAAATTGTAGTTCTAAGTTGGTGACAATCGCGCCTCTTGATCGTCTCCCCGAAATGCCAAGCTTTATTCAGTACTGTTATGTAATGATGTATTTTGAATGATGAAGGACTTGAGAATGGGTGTGCCTTGTGGTCAGTTTTCATATGCGTAAGGTACGCTGTAATCAAATAAAACTCTGAGATTTTATTGATGCATTCATCTTCTTGCTCTCATTAATGCCTTCTCTCCTTACTTACTCTAAGCTTAGATCCCATTCAACATCTTTATTGATTACGTGCATATGGTTACGATGTTTTGTTGAGTCGCAATCAAATCAGTTCAAAATTTTGTGCTATAAGTCGAACTCCGCGACGCTGCATTGATGCGAGCGTCGGCACGATGTTCGTGTGCAATTCTGAGCCTTCTCTTCCGTCTCTTCGTTATTGAATGCACGGTTGGGCGCACCACTGGAGCCACAACGCCATTGGCCAATTTGAAAACAAAGTGGCGCGAAGGTCGTAGTTCCTGTCATTTATTTCGCCCTCCACTTATTTATTCAGTCGCATTCGAGCGATAGAAAGGACAATGGCGAAAGAATCCGTCTCTTTCGTTGTTAACATCATTGATACAGATTTAAGGGTTTCATTTAGCTGTATAATGGAGTTGCACGAGATGTCAGTCGTACAGTTAGCCAGAGATCAATGTGTAGTGAAAAAATGCGGCATCGTGTTTTTCTGAGTGATACTTGTTCAAACGGGAGGCAAACTTAGCATTTTCTTTCGTCAATCAAATCCCCTTCTCCTCCTGCAGTTATCCTTCGCAGATGACATGGTGGAGGGTTGGGATATTGTGCTGTACATAGGAGATAGGCTTTAGCCATCATGTCTTAGTACACTATGCGATTATGTTCTGCTCAAAAACCGAGTAGTTTAGTACCATATGAACATGAATCAGCATAATATCTCACCGACATTGGTGTTTGATTGAGTGCACCATATCCTTGCAGTCCTAGAAATAAAGTGAAGAAATTATACCTTGCTTCTCAGGACTTACCGGAGGCATTCCTAACGCAGTAGTCCTTGGAAAGTTTGGCGAGACGAATCAAGTGTGAGAACTATTGAGTGAGTGCATGTAAGACTGACAATGAAGTTAACTGAAGTCGACTGGCAAATTTTCACCTTCACTGCGTTTATGCCGCTGAAAAAGGCAAAGTGTTCTTTATTGGATTAGATTGTATTAGTTGGCGCGGAAAATGATTTGCTGTGGATTGATTTCGAATCTTTAAAAATTGTGTCTCATCAACGTAAGCTTCGTCGCGGTGCCAACTGTCAGTCATTGTTTAATTATCTTCCGGCTACAAATAATGCAAGAGTATTTGGCAGGGAGTTCTGTGATGAATTGGCCATGTTGTTGTCTTCCGTGAATGGTTTTGGGCACTTTCATATGTGCATGTTTTAGGTGAAAGTAACACATTTAACAACACAGATTAGAAAAGAAAACCTTGTCGTCAAGCAGTTTACTTTTATATTGGCGACCCGCTGCTCTGCATTCTACTTCTAGCTCAACTGATCTGTCCGTGCGTTTGTTGCATTCAAAGAAGAAACTTCGTCGTCTGTTCTAAAAGCAGTTTTTTTGCAGCATATGTCAAATCGGCCGCGTCGACGTCGAGCCGTATCGTCTTCTCCGGCATACAACAGAGATGCAATAGAGAGCAACGTTGAATACCAGTCTGAGGATTCTGATTGTTCGTAAGTTTAGATTTCATACCTACAAACTGCATATTTGGAATGTACTGTTCGTAATCTAGCACTTCATCAGAGGCTGCAGAAACGTCCGAATACCGCACTGACGTCCGAAACGAAGAACATTCGGATCCCGATGATAAGTTATTCTTGCCGAGGAAGAATGTTGTACATGACATAGTGCACGCAGGCAGGAATAATGCGATCTGGTAATTTATTGGACACCCTAATACTCTAATTCATGGCTTATTTGACCGTTTGTGTAAGCATAACGGGTTTTATCTTTTCGGAAGAGAATGTTTGCTTTTTTGTCGAAAATTTCAGGCCAAATTATAGTTTTAGTTATTTTATTAACTTGTAGGTACGAGTGGTCCACTTTTGCTCTCTCGACCAATTCTCAGTTTTCGAAGCTAATAAAAAAAACTGGACCATCAAGCTGTGTGCCCAACAGAAACTAGCTTCCGTATTCTAATTGCAGGAACAGACGACTATGGAGGAAGATAAATTCCATCTTGTTAACTGTTCTTATAATGACAGCATTGCTTTGTATAATCAATCTGTACCAATCTAATCTCGGGGACAATCAACACGATACGGTATATCAATATGTAATCCACCTTTTTACTTCCTATTTGGAGAACATTTAGGAGTTAGCACGCACTCGCTTGTTAGCTTTCGAGAAGCATTTGTCAGAATTTGCTACACACTTCGAGAACGTCACTAAGGAAGAGCTTGGAGTCATTTTTCATGTTGGAAGACAGGTATTTTTTCATCACTCATTATTTTTCTACTTGGATGCTTTTGCAGTGGTTTTTGATGCGTCAAAAGCGGCCCGTCGTTTTGATTGTCGCAGGCAATGAAAGCGAACGTTTCGTTCGTGTGCTCTCTGAAGTGTTCCGCTCGTCATTTCAAATTCCTTCACCAATAGTGGATCTCGACTTGTCTTCTGAACTAGTCAGGTCGGAGCTTCATGGCAATTTAGACCGTGGTATGAGTTCCTTACGCTCACTTTCTGGTATCTCAATTCTGAAACCGCAGTGGTACATTCGACTGTCCCATTAGCTATACTAGACGGTGTGGAGCATCTCGGTTGGGACGCTCCGCTCGCTCTACATGCTTTTGCGGACGATTCATCTACGGCACATCCGCACACCTTACTATTTTTGACAGTAAGAAAGTCATTCCAAAGAAGTGCAAAGGAGTGCGAACGATCGGTCATGGAGTGAGTTTTTTTCTTTGCAGTTTCATCTATTGTGGTCTTGAAAAAGTTCGAACGGATCAGACTTTTCTTTCGCTGTGCTAAGCATGACTAGAGATATGGCTAAGGCACGCAACATATATTTGATCCGCTTGATCCGCTTCATCCACCTCGCCATTGATCAGCTTGCTGATGTGATCAATAGCTAAGTGGATGAAGCGGATGAAGCGGATCAAGTATGGCGCGTGCATAAGGGTAGTGCTTGAATGCTCTCATGCACCTATCAATTGTGCGGAGGAATGCCTCTTAGTGCCGCGAGATAGATGCAGGAGAGTAGGAATATCATGCAGAGTTTTTAAGTTTTTCTTCTCTTCTTCAAAAGTTATTGTAGGAGGAGAGCTAGCACCAGGAGATATTTCTGGTTAGGGTTCTTTCATACTACGCCGCAGCACGCAGCGTCCTGCGGCGTGCGCCGTTGCAGTCGCAGTGAGGATATACCTAAGCTCATTCTCTGTGAAAGACCCTCGGAGAACACGAACGTGAGCAAATATGGAGGTACATCCATAACCGGCGAACCTGTGCTGCCGTGAGCGTATATTTTCACGGCGACTGCAGCGACTCACGCCGCAGAACGCTGCGTTCTGCGGCGTAGTATGAAGGAACCTTAGGATTCGGTTATGTGCTGCATTGCTCGGTATTTGTGTCGATCTCATGTCTTCCATGTTCCCATTTTGGTGAAATTAGGCTTCCTGCGAGATTCAAAGCTTCATTGGAAGTTTCTCTGCGCAAGACAGTATCATACTCTTGCAATCCCTCGAAGTATGTTAAGAAGGCCACCGATGTCCTGTGAAAAGGCATAAATATTAGGTTGGAAACTAAGTTTTGCAACTGGTCTCATAACTTTCTTCTCACTCAACATGGCGCAATCAAATTTTGCCACTGCGAATTTTGCGTTGGTTACCACGTAAGCTACAAGCTCAGCTGCTGTCCTACCAAATTCGGACGTCGCAGTGAGGGTTACGGTAGGTGCATGGTATGAAGGGGAAAAATTCAAAGTTTGACGGATTTGGCTGAAACTTGGCATAGGGGTGTTATCCGACATGCTGATCACGAAAACGATAGTGAAATTGCGTGATAAGGGCTCTATTGTAGGATTACTGTAGGTGTACGATATGGGGTCTTACCCTAAACAAGGAAAAAGACGTTGATTCAACAAATGAATGTGATATTTGTGTTTGGCAGGTCAAATAACCTTACTATGTAAAGTCTCGGCGGAACTTGAGCTTCGGACTCTTTAGTCATTGACGGTCGTTCCCAGCAGCTCTTGCGTACATCGACTCGTTCGAATTTATGAGGACGCCAAATCTCGACATGCCCCTAAATTTTGTTTCTTTCTTAACAGGCCGAATGAGTAAACCTTTAGCAACAATTCTTAGGCGAATCCGGATTACTGCGCATGGTCTAGGCTGCCAAAGGCCTCATTTTAGCTTAAAACCCCAAAAATTCTCAAATTTCACTAGTTTTCGAAGAACGCCTGAAACTTTTCTATTTCGTGTTCAAAATTTAGACAATTTGTGCTCACTTGTAGCCCACATTGCCTTCTACCAGTGGCGTCGGGGACCCGCAAAAGTTTTGAGAAGCACCTCCAAAATTTTTTCGGAGTGCGTGGCTAACGCCACGCACCTTCTTTAGGAAAAATTGTTTGTCGCCCCCCCCCCCCCCCCCTCCCCGAGCCGAAATCCTGGGTACGCCACTGCCTTCTACATAATGCCAAAGTTTGAATGCGCCATATCCAGAGAGAGTGAAGTTATGAAACCAGTTGCAAAACTTAGTTTCCAGCCTAATAAGTTGAATATCTCCATTTATGCCTAGCAAGGTTGTGGATTAGTGGACAGCAGATTAAGGAAATGTTTTATAGGGCTACTTATAGCTGTGGCAATCTGTGTTGATCGTGGTAGCTTAACTCTGCTGAGCCGCTCGATTTCGTAACCCCCTCCCCCCTCTCAGAGCGTTTAATTTTAGCACTGATCATTTAAGCATTTCGTTGTTACAGTCGCGTCCTTTTTGATGGAAAAACAAAACCAGGCGCATCGTAATTGTTCTTGAATTTCACCACTACTATCAATACTCAATGTTATATCTGGGCTATGAGCAAAATTGACAATATTCTTCTTTGGCTGACGTCGAAATGGCGACTTCACGCGTTTTTGAAGCCTATAAGAATTTACAAGTGTTCGTTGTATCCTGATATAAAGGAGCACAAAATAAACTACATTCATGTTAACCACATGCTCCCTTTTCCGTAACAACTACCCTCTGATTCAACAGAATTGGCTGCTGGAGGGCGGCCTGCTTGGTCTGCATCCCTTTCGTAAGTGTGTTCTCTACTTACTTTCCCATCACGAGTTTGGGAAAGGCGGAGCTTCAATCACCAGAGAGCACTATCACGAAGAGGTGCAGAGCCAGGCGAGGCGGCCGCGAGGGCGTGAGCCCCACCCACCAGCCGCCTATCCTGTTGATTCAGAAGGTAGAGTCAGTTTCAACCCGATGTACGCCGACGCAATTCGTACGGAGCAACGCGTCCGTTTCCCTGGAGGCTGTGCAAGCGCACTGCGCTGGCATTTTGCTAGTCAGAGAGCTGTCAAACCGGCAGCTCAGGTAGTGCTCTAACGGTTTAGATACTCCCCTCGAAACTGGACCCCAGGATCTTATTTCGCATGAATTTATGGCGCAACCCGCGGGTCTCCGCGCGAAACTGATGGGTGCGCCTTAAATCCATGCGAAATTCGATCCCGGGGTCCAGTTTGGAGGCGTATATCTCAGCCGTTAGTGAGTTACCTGGCTGCCGCTTGGGCAGTGCCTTAGTTAGGGCCCCAAAATTACTTTCTACGTAAAATTCCCATAGCTCCAGCTTTGCTTGGACGCTGCCTTAAATACGGCCCAAAAATTGAAAACCACGGATTTCGCTGAAAATTCGCTTTGTGGGGTTATTCGACCTGCTGATCACGAAAATGATATTTTGCATGCTTTCTGAGGGGTTATGGTAGGCATACGGTATGGGGGCAAAATTTCAGAATTCGCTAAAACTTTGTGTAGGGGATTATTAGACATGCTGACCACGAATACCATATTCATTCCTCTCGAAAACGCCTTATGGTGGGGTTGCGGTAAGATTATGGTATGGGGTCAGGATCATGAAATTTGCTGAAACTTTGCATGGGGGGTATTCGACTTGCTAATTACAGATACCACACTTTTTCCGCACGAAACGCTCCTTGTATGGTTACGGTAGGTATATGGTAAGGAATCAAAATCGTAGTTCTGACTAAAACTTGGTGTAGGCTGTTATCTGATATGCTAGTCTCATGGATGCCGCGCTCATTCGCTTATAAAGCCTTCTCGTGAATTTTTGGGATTGCAAATTGCCATAACTTCACAATAATGTGGTAGCGAGTAAGCCCGATAATTGTTATCAGCGTGCTTGAAAACCCTCTAGGAACGTAAGGCAAGTGAAATTTCACTACTAAGTTGTACCCACGGTAACTCGAGGAAACGGCGCTGTCATACAAAGTCAATATGATATCCATGTTTGGCGTGCTAAATAATCCCTCCAGACCAAATTCCAGCAAATTCTAGAATTTGGCCCCCCCCCCCCCCACCTTGCACCTACCGTAACCATCAGGGAGATGTTTTCTTGCGGAAAAAGTGCAATATTCATGATCAGCATGTCGAATAACCTCCCTACGCAAAGTTTTAACGAATTCTGAGGTTTGACCTCATACCGTATACCTACCGTAACCCTTCAAAAAGACCCCCTACCATGCAGAATGGATATCATTTTCGTCAGCAGGTCTCTAGGCGACTTTTCAGCGAAGTCCTGTGATTTTCAATTTTTGGGTTGTATTAACACGTTTCGGACCGGTGCTGCACATGGTGCAGCACGCGGCTCTGAAGGATCTTTTTAACGTTTACAAGAGGTTTTCTTTTTGTCCAAGGTTATCAAGTCAAAGGCCTAGGCTTTTACTTTTCAAATAACTCTGTAGAGCTGTGCTGCCGATATTTGTTAAAGAGATATATGAATATAAATCGAACAACAGTTGCAACGAAGTGCGACAACGCGAACGACGCGTGCGACGTCGCAACTTTTCTTTGCTTCAAATTTAATGAGAAAAACCGTAATTTTCATAATCATGTGTATCGTGTACAACATAGATACTTTTGGATACAATTAGAAACTGAATTCTTGTTTCTTTCAAGAAAGCATAGAAGTCCTTCTCAAGCGACAAAACTCAAAAACTTCGAATCCATTCAGAACTTTGGGTATCAATCTTATCTGAAATGCTGATTACAGATGTAGCACACAGTCTGGGAAATAAGGTCCTTTTGTTGGCTAACGGCTGAAAGTACCCTTCTTCTCGCCGCGCGCGATTTCGCGGTCCGAAACGTGTTAAGTGAAATAGCGCCCCATATTCCATGCAATCGGTTTTTGGTGACCACAGTTCCACTGCAACATTTATGGACTACGCAGCAACATTATAGTCCACAACAGTAAGCTGTAGATGACGAAGTTACCTCTTATAGCTTAGAAATTCCTTCTGGGAATGTCCCGAAACAGTTCGCGTTTGATTGTGTCAGTTCAAACAAACCTTTAATTTCCTTTAATTTTCCTTGTCATTCCAGATACCTGAGCGAACGTTGGATTGGTACAGGAGGCTCTACGGACAATGTTACCCCAATATTGTCGCGCATAATGCAGTTTTTGATCTGTGTATGATTGTAAGTGAATGATTGTGTATATATGAAACGTTTCACTTCTATCTGTTGAGTTGAAATAGACGTATATAATGTATGTTTGTCATAAATTCAGCCTGGAGATTCCTCAGCTGACTGCATATATCATTATTGACTAAAAAGTAGTTCTGTGAGTAGGTTAGAATAACTGCGCATGATTTTCCAGCTTCCTGAGGCGAAAAGTAATGAAGAGCGGAAGGCAGTCCTAATGGACTAACCTACTTTACTTGCGATCTTCCTAAATAGTATAAAATAAGCAACTTTGACTTTTCAGATCGCTATAAGTGGATCGAGGTAGATCTATACATATATAAAGCTTAGTGTTGGAAATTGTTAGTTATTCATTATTTATTCATTTATGCATTTAATGATGCGCCTCAGAGTTGTTTCATACTGCAGTCGCTGCAGCAACGGCAGTCGATCGATCGATATCTTTTGCCCGCGCCGATTTGACTGCAGCCGCTGCAGCGACTGCAGTATGAAACAACCCTAACGAACATATTAGTTCGACAAGATTGCTAATTTGCGGTAAATGATGAGACAAAGAATAAGTGCTAGTTTTTCGAAAAATCAAACTGTGGTGCACAAATAAAATTATAGCCCACTCTCAATAGGTGTGTAGGTATGAGTATAATTGAGGAAGTACGAATAGTCATGCTGCAACCATGGTTTGAATAGCCTTTAAGCTATCACTCTCGAGCGAAAAAAGAGAAAGACACCAGAGCGAATGGTGCTCTTAATTCCATGCGTACCCCAAATACCTCTTACCTCTTTGAGCTTTCTCTTAAATCTCTTCCATGGAGAAAGAAGACAGCAGATAATAAGTGCTTTTGTAAAGTATTATGAATGAGGTCGTGAAGACCCTATGAGTGAGACTTAATCCACATTGAGAAAACAATTAAAAAGGGTTTGATTTTTGGAGAAGCCAGCCCTTGTACATGTCAATAAACATGAAACAGCTGAACTGAAACTAAAAAAAATGACTGGTAGTAAGTATTAGCTATTTTCAGAGTATTTCACTTGTAGTAAATCAAGCCTATTATTCTACGTTTGAAAGTAGCTACATTCTCGGCTTGCAGCGTATTACACGGTAGTGTACAAAGCCATCGCGGTATTCCTTTAAAGAAAATGTTGAACACGAAACGAAAACGTTTTCTTTGAATACGTGAATAATATTAGGTTGTTACATAAGTCTTGTTACACTTTAATCTTGAAGCGATAAGTCAAGCACCTCATATTCTTTACAGAGCTACAGGGCAACATTCGATAAAGCAAAGCAAGCTCTACAAGATGGCGTGCAAAAGTTCGCACCAACTTCAATCCACTGTAAGTTTGCAAAATCTGAGTCGTACCGAAGGCTCAAAAAATCGCGAAAAATTCATATCTTAAAAAAAACCTACAAATCTCCAACATGCTTGTAAAAATTGCCCTATGCCAGACACTCATATGTACCTTTGCTGTATCTTTTCCTCATATAAAAATTGAGAAAGCGAAAATTTTCTTGTTGTTACAAAAACGGAGCTATGCTGTTTCTATTCATGTAGCTGCACACTAAAAGCCCTTAGAAGTATAACCGTAACTTTCAGCTTTCCAGAAGTCCTAGTTTTCGAAAAATACCGGAAGCTTTTTTCACTCGAATGTTCAATGCGAAATTAGGTAATTTTCGAAAACTAGAGCCTCTACAAAGCTGAAAATTTACGGTTATACTACTAAGGGCTTGTAGTATACAGCCACATGAATAGAAACAGCATAGCTTCGTTTTTGTAAAAACAAGAAAATTTTCGTTTTCTCGATCTACTCAGACAATCGCCGGGGGCAGGCGGGCACCGGAAAATACGCGTTGCTGAAATCTCGCATTCCGCTCGCAAATTCCAGAAGAATGGTCAGCGGGTTTTTGAGAGACCGCCTGTTGAGTCTTTTTTCGCTCTTATCTTTTGCAAATATATTGCTGAATCTCTGAGGAATCGAGAACTCAGCAAGCGGCGTTCCGAATAATTCTGATTGCTTTCCAAAAAATCCGCGAGCGGGGTGCGAGAAATCAGCCATCTATTTTTCCGGTGCCCGCCTGCCCCCGGCGATTGTCTGAGTAGGTGGAGAAAAAATAAAGCACTCTTTCTCCAATTTACGTATGTATTTCTTGAGAAAAGGACTCCACACAACAGATCAGTATTCTAAGTGAGGCAAAAGAAGGCATTATAAAGACGTTTGAGAATCAAGGCATTATCGGTATGTACATTGCGGGAAATAGCAAATAATACTGAAGCTTCATTGACTGCTTAATCAATATGATTGGCAAAATTCAATTCAGAATCTACGAGTACACCCAAATCCTTGGCAATGGAGCAGTTCTTCAACCTAATTCCATCTATCTCGTAAACTGGGAAGTCGTCATCTCCAGAATGCATTACAAAGCTTTTTTCTAAGTTTACAGATATGCCAGAGCAAGCAGCCCATTCCGCCATGTTTCCAAGAGAAGTTTTTATTGCTGAACGGACTTGTATTTTATTATAGTTATCAAAGCTTCCGTAAATCTTTATGTTGTCGGCATACATCTGAATTGGCAGATGTATGGACGTTTTCAAGATGGATGGGAGTTCAGCAGCGTATAGTATAAGGAGTAATGGAGAAAGGACTATTCCCTGCAAAACACCACTTGTACAAAGTTGCCATTCAGAAAAGTGGTGTTCAACTTTGACCGTCATGCCTCTGTTGTGTAAGTACGATGTCAACCAATTCAAAAAGCTTTCTCAAACCGATTTTTCTAATCTGTACAAAATGAACCTTCATTTTCATGATGAACCCTATCAGAGCCTTGGAAAGATCAACGTAAACCACATCAACAGAACTACCACTAATGAGGGCTAAATTTCAATCAAAAACAGAGTCCACAAGATTAGTGGTAGTGGATGATCCTTCCAAAAGCCATGTTGATTGATAGGGATCACGATGAGCCTTTCAAGCCACGAAATCAGTCTAGTACGCAGGACTTTTTCCATCACTTTTACGGCCGTAGGAGTCAAACTATTATAGTTAGTGTGTTCTTTGAAGAAAGTTTTGTGTGTGGACCGATCGGCGCCAAGCTTTGCTTATGTTTTCGACACCGGTCCACCCTTAGGCTGCTTTTCGCAGCGAGATTCCCTCTCCTATTGATTTATCGATTTTAAAGAAAAATGAATTCTTAGTTCTTATCAACTGGTGTCAAGCTTCCAACTTTCGTGTAAACAGTGGCAGTAGAACTCATTTTCATTTTACGATTAGGAACGGCGGTGAAAGCGATGTGATTTAGGAGTTACTGCCCTGCATTACAGGAGTAAAAGAAAACCGAAACGCAGATAAGTTGAGCCTTCAGAGTTGAGCACCAAATTTGCTCTTCATTGAGCCACTTAAAAACATGGTGCGGGCGAAGCTGGGCATACTAGCTAGTACCTTTATAGTGGATTCTATTCTTGTACTACTTCTGACGTATTTTTTCCCAAAGGCATTGAATTTGCTCTCAAAGTCAGGTTCTTCAATCAAGGCTTCTGGAAAGGTTCCTGAAATACGCACCCTGTCTTTAAGAATTTTCATCTGGCACTTTTTCATGTAAAGTCTTACCTTAATTATCTATTTTTCTTTATGCCCCCTTCTCCTTCGTTATTTTTCCGTTGAACGCTTTTTGTTAATTCAGAGAGTCGCTGCTTCCGCGATATCTTCAGCTGTCTTCAACGAGGACTGAAACAATCATCGCGATTGCGGAAACCGCGCATTTTTCTTTGTGCTTCCATGATTTTGGGTTTTTGGGCGTTTCAGCCTCATTTCTTTGCACAACTTTTACTGCTTGCTCTTTCGTGCTTGAGTACTGTTCCGCTTTTAATGAAAAAACTTCGAACTTCGAGAAATATGCACGAATGAAGCAGCATCGATTTATGGCAGTTTTCAGCTGGTGCAGAAAACGAAATACGCTGAAATCTTACACATAAGTCCGCTTCTTTGATAAGAAAATCGATGAAAATGCACCCTCGCACCGCCAAGAATTTTGCAGATAAGTCCTCCCATCAAATAAGTCCGGGCTTATCTAACAGTCTTCCGACTTATCTGACAAGATTTCAAGGTAGTTATAATGGAAAGAAAACGGACTTATCTGTAGGCGGACTTATCTAAAGGGCCTTAACTGAGTCAAAAAAGCGGACTTATCTGAAGGCGCACTGACCTGTAGGCGGACTTATCTGATTGGAGGACTTATCTGTAAGGCGTGTACCCCTCTTCAAGTCTGGTACTTTTTCAGTCACAAGAGTAAACGAGATACAAGAATGAGGTGAAAACGAGCAACATTCACTATAAAAGCTGTTGGAGAAAGTTAAAAACTGTTATCTCGCGCCGATCAAAACGCGTGCAGGCTGCTGCAGCGTATGCAGCACAGTCCCGGCACAGTTCCAGCACAGTGCGGGAACTTCGGGATAGCATGAACCCAGCCTTATATAAACAAAAAAGATTTTCCTAAATAAGCACCTTCAAATGGCATTTCTTAAAATATTAAATCGTTCCGGAAGTAATGTCGCTTTTTTCAAACGTACGCCACATCTCGTGGAACAAAGATATGTAAGAGATTCTGGTAGCATTTGATACAGCATTTCATCCTCTTTCTAATGGTTATAGTCACCCCAAAAAATTTAATAATTTCTCGTGCTTTTTAAGAAGGTCAATTTCCACAATTTTTCTAATTTTTTATTAAAACCCTCACAAGGAGCCCAAGTAGTGGATGGATAGAGCAAACCGTACTGGAAACAGCACAACCTTTTTCTACTTTCCAGAGCTCGTCATAGTTTTGCATAGATTTTTTGATGGAACCGAATTTTAGCAGGCTCGTCTTAGACACAAATGCATCAAACACCAATAAATCTTCAGATTTTGAGACTTACAAAGATGGATTATTGTTTGACACTAATTTTACAAGCCAAATGGGCATTCACCGCTTCAGATTATCAACTTTCGAAATTTCCGGGTACAGCCTCTAGCGCCCTGGAAAACCTGAATTACGAAAATTTTATCCCGGAAAACTTGATGAATCAGAAAAAAACAACTGGTAGAAAGGGAAGAAAAAGCTGCGTCGAATGACGCTCGAGTTGCTTGCCGGTTGTTGTCTGTGAGGTTTGAATTGACCAAACATAGAATTTGATAGCATTGAAAAATTGATTTCAGAAAGTCTAAGAAGCAAGCTAAGGAAAATAAAAAATTACTCTATGTCCTACAGGGTTTGCTCTACCTATTAGTCACTTGTACTTCTTCGGAGAATAAGTACAAAAATTTAAAAAAATAGCCGAACTTGATCATAGCAGAAAGCATGGGTCGCAGATTTTGGTAATTTTCCCAGAGCCCATTGAATATTATGCAACGATATTACAACCATTAGAAAGTGGATGAAATGCTGCATTGAATGCTCCTAAAATCTCTTGAAAATCTTAATTCTTTGAAATATGGCGTTAATTTCAAAAAAGCGACATTACTTTAGGAACGACCTAATATTATGTGAAAATTATCTGCGGTGCGAAAAGTTGCAGTAGCGCCCTTCCTGAAAGGCGCCACCTCTGCTTGCGGAAGTCAACTCCACAAATGCTTTTCCACAAGCGAGAGTAAGATATGTTTCGAATAGAGGCTTTCAATTTTTGCAATTTTGCCGATTGCCTGCGAGAAGCCAATATTCATTCCTGGAAAGTGTTGCCTCCACCAGCAAGACCCAATTACTCAAGCGCTTTCCTTCTTACAAGACAATGATTATTCCAATTAGATGCCCGCCTCCACTAGCGAGACCCAGTTACTATATTTGGGTACGAGTCGAATAGAAATTCAATCATTCGAATAGAACATTCGAATATATTTGGATTCGAAATTCAATATTCAGAGTCTTCCGTTTTCGAAATTTATTCGAATGTTTTGTTCGAATTCGTATTCGAAGGAACTCCATAATCAGATTATTCGAGTTTGTTGCAGAGCCAACTGCTGAGTATCAAGCTCCCTTTGTCCGCGTTTTTTCCGCAAAACTCGGTAATGCATCATTTTGCAACCGTGATGACCTTTGAACTCTATGGAAAGATTCCTCCGACTGCCTGCGACAAAGTGTAAATTTTAATTGATGCTTTTTCGATCAATGAGATAGTTTGCACTGCTATTGGCACCAAATCAGCAAAAAAAAGCTATCAAATTGAAACTCGTGTTCCGAGTTTATATACTGGAAAGGTGACAGGCCATTTTCTCTTCCTTTGCATTGCTCATGCTTTTGGTATACAAAATTCACACGTGAGCACTCTTGCTTGTAAAACTCATGTTGCACAACTGCCTCTATTCTTTACAGGCTGCGGCAAAAATCTGGGAGCCTAACTTTGCAGTATTGCAATTACAAAGGTACTGGTGGTGCTGAATTCAGTTTTATGCCACATGATGCTGCGGTCATCCTCTACAAAATACACTTTGTCTAGCTGGAAATGGCTGCCATATGTTTTTGTAAGATTGAAAATTACCAAACTAGTACTTTTGCAAAACTTTATGAACGATAGCGCGCGCTTAGGCAGGCGTGTGTCGATAAGGTGCGCACCGTTAGCCCCGCCTATCGCAAGATGGACGAGTTCTTCGCAGTACAGCTCTAGCACTGGTTCATGGCCATGTTCCCTAGTCAGGTGAAAGCAACTTCTGATAATGACCCATAAGCTTGTTGCAAGCTGGGGTGAAGCTTGACTATTTACAGAATTTTGTTTTGCTTTTTTGCTTCTTTTTTTGCCAGTCAGGAACAGCTAATGTGTTGAATGAAATTCAAGAGATTTGCTGATTTACCTATGAATGACCGAGTGACTCCTGGATATCCACTTTCAAGTGTGAACACTCTAGAACTCCTCAGGCACGATTGTCTGAGTGACTTCACATCTTACGACTAGTTTACACGCAATTTCGTTAATCACAGATCAATTTGAGGGTAGCAGTTTTTGAAAGCAAACAAAAGAATTTTGTTATTTGAAGCAAATTCGAAAAAATACAAGTGCAGTGTGATTTTCCTTTTCCTGAAAACTGAAAAAGTTTATGTGATATGACCGCATATCTGCAAAACGAGGATATCTGATTGTGCGAAACATTGTAATGTTGTACATAAGTTATTGAAATTAGTTGGCTTGAAACAAAATTCGCATATAATGCTTGTTTTGAATTCTCGTCGCAATGAAATCTGTTTTTAGCTCTGATTAGGGTTTCAAAACTTACTTTCCCGATAAAAGAGATAGTCGTGTTGGTCATTGTAATAATAATAATATTTCCCTATAAGCTGGCTTCTTTTTGAACTAAACTTGAGAGCGCACAATAAAGAGTATTTAATATAGTAAGAGATGTGAATAAAGAAAAGCACTTTTTTCAAGCATAAAAGAATCTCCTCATATTTACAATGAAAAATCAACTGAAATACAATGAAAAGAGCTTGCGAACTATTTTATAATGAAAAAAGATCTGAAAACTGATCTTCAATTTGATTGAAATTTCGAAATCTACTGTTATTCCAATTGCAATCAACTGAAGAAGCATGAACGAAATATTAGAGAGTTTTCCAATGGTTGCAACGCATTCCTAGGCTAATTAACAATGGGGCAGCGCGATCGGCGCATCGCTTACGGTACCCAGCTGGCGGCTGGCACATGCTATCGTTCATAAAGTCATACACCCAGCGAAAAGAGCAGAATTTTTAGTATTTACAATTTTTGCTATAGCTAGAAATGCTGTTGGTATTCTACGACACTTCGATGCACACAGTATAGAAGAGGCTTTGCGCTATTGGATCGTAGTTTTGCTTTTGCCAGGAGCTGTTCTTGCATAAACGGAAAATAAAAGTTTGCGAATGTCACCTACGTGCCAGTGGAAATCCGTCTTTAGGACAAATTTAAAAGCTATAGAATGCTCAACAGGCACTGGGACCAAGGTTGTATTTTTTGCATACGTCTTCTAAATTAGAATCTGTTGAAATTCGGCCATGGGAACACTTTTTATACTTCTTAAACGATAATTTTAAGTTTTTATTCGCGCAATTGTAGCCAAAATTCCGGTATGCGGCGTACACATGCTTTTAATTGAAAATCCAATATTTTTATTCCCAAGTAATGCAAAAAATTCTTTTGGAAGCATATTGTAGATAAAAGCTTGCTCTATCGTGTTGCACATTTGTCAAGGTAAAAGAAGCAGTTATTGTGGAGACGTGGGGCGAATTCCATTACGACTACCTGCGTGCCATGACAGGTGGACTTGCCAAGATTTCGTAGGGCTGCGTGGAAGCCAAAATAGGCAGTTTTGCAATTCAAGAGCTGGGCTGTATCTGCAATGGTTCGAATTATGTGTGCGCCAGATTTTTCGTTTCTAGGTACTTCCCTTCTCGTTTTGTACGAAAAAGTACTAGACTCCCAGACTTTTGCCGCACCCTGTACTTTAGAGATTTTTCGCAAGGTGTGTTGTGAGTAAAAGACATCGCAGCTGTAATTAAGGATTAGATGGTTGGTGAATTTTGCAGTCATATCACTTTGCAATAAAGTTTTGTTTAGTAGATAATGGAAAGTAAAATACTGTCGCCAAACGACAACAAATAAACAAGTAATGCGAGGTTTGCAAGATACCGTATTCTCATACTTGCAAACTTTAGGTTATTAGAAGCAGCGCGACCGAGTGACTCTGGGGCAGCTGCGCCAAATGGCAACGACTATCCCCACC